TTGCGGAGGCTGAAGAGGTCCAGGTGCCCTAGTCTCTCCTCATAGGGCTTGGCCTGCAAGTCCTTAACCATACGAGTGGCCCTTCTCTGGACCCTCTCCAGGTTATCCACATCCCGCTTGAAGTGCGGCGCCCAAAATTGCATGCAGTACTCCAACTGCGGTCTGACCAGCGCCCGATAGAGGGGAAGTATCACCTCCTTGGTTCTGTTTGTCATGCATCTGCTGATGCACGATAAAGTGCCGTTAGCTTTTCTGATGACTTCATCATACTGCCGGCTCATGTTCATCTTGGAGTCCACTAGGACTCCAAGATCCCTTTCCGCTACCATGCTGCCGAGCAAGTCATTTCTTAGGCAGTGGGTGTGCTGGTTGTTTTTCCTCCCTAGGTGCAGCACTTTGCATTTCTCCTTGTTAAATTGTATTCTGTTGTTTTCTGCCCATATGTCCAACCTGTCCAGGTCTGCTTGCAGCTGTTCCCTGCCCTCTGGTGTGTCCACTTCTCCCCACAGTTTTTGTATCATCCGCAAACTTGGACAGAGTACACTTCACTCCCTCGTCCAAGTCCCTGATGAAGACATTGAAGAGTATTGGTCCAAGGACTGAGCCCTGCGGGACCCCACTGCCCATGTCATTCCAGGTTGATACTGACCCATCCACTACCACTCTCTGGGCATGGCCCTCTAGCCAATTTGCCCCACACCAGACTGTGTAATCATCCAAGTCAGAGCCTCTTAATTTGTTCACCAGATGTTTAACCATAACGTCAATCTCAGCAGGCTCAAAGCTGGCAGGCCCTGGAGTAATTTCAGACGCGCTGCTTGTCCCTGCTAGTTTCTGCTGCGTCACAGCGTGTTTCCTAGTTAAGTTTCACTGTGCCTTCTGCCGGGCGAAAGGAGAGGTCCTTGTAAACTGTGACCTCTCGGGAAAGCACCGAGACAGACTGTACATGGTGTTGTCAAATGCACAGAGCAAACAAACGGCTGCAGCATTTTGTTCTAGAAATCCTGCAGTACTTAACAGCAGACTGAATTGTCAGACAGGTGTGGTTCGGCTGGGGGCTGTGACTAGCTTGTTGATTAAGGTGAGAAGGAACCGGATCCTAACCAGGATTGTATTTTTGCTCCGTTAATCCTACATCACTAAAGAGGTGGTTCGTTGTGGTAGTCAGTTAATTTAGTTAGTTCCAAAAGCCCACACCTCTTTGATCCAGTTAGCCTGCAGGGTGCCCCCCTGCCTTGCCAGTCTGTTAATTTTGCATTTAACATAATCCTATGGCTTTCAGCTAAACTATGATCGCCCAGAAAGACCTTCATTCTCTCTCGGAAGAGGTCAAGAGATGGAGAGAATCGTAGGAAATGAGGGGTGAAGGCACCTCAGGAGATCACATCCAGTCCAACCTGCTGCTCAGAACAGGACCAGTCCCAACCACATCATCCCAGCCAAGGCTTTGTCTAGTCTTAAAATCCTCCAAGGATGGAGATTCCACATCCGTGCTGGGGAGCCTGTTCCAGTGCTTCACCACCTTCCTAGGGGGAGAGTTTTTTCCGATATCTAACCTGAATTTCCTTTGCTGCAACTTGAAACCATTGCACTCTGCTCACCAGCTGGGTGCCACCAGATCCTTTGAAGAGAGCCCCAAAGTGTAAGGAGATGAGCAGATCATGTCTGAGCACGGCAGATCCCTCACTCGCACTACCCAGCCCCTTGGCCCAGGGGGTTAGCACTGGAATATATAGGTTAGCTTTTGAAATCAGGTGCTGCTCAATTCAGACCAGTCCAGCTCCATCCTCTTTGGAACCACCCTTCAGGGAGTTGAAAGGTGCTGTTTCCTCAGCAGTGTGTTCTGGTGGTTAACTTCACTTACAAGTTAATTCTTACCTGAAGGCCTGGTTCTAACGTCCTGCCCTTGGCTCTTGTTGTGCCTTTCTGGTGAATAGAGAAAAGTGCTCCTTGGTACTTGGGTCTCTCCTGATGAAGGTACAGAGGCACCATCAAGTGCCTCAGTGGTTTTGATAAACTGCTTGCATGCAAAATCTCTCAAGGCATGTTGTCCTTCAAAGTGGGGGGGAGCATAATACAGTGGTGCCCAGCCAGGTCTGTCCATGGGCTGGATCCTGTCCACAGATCTGAACCAGCTACATGGTGCTTGGGAATTTGGCAGCAGATAGATGGTGATAGTGTTTAATTGCCGCCACTTCCCCACTGCCAAATTTCCAGACCCCTGGAGAGCCCCACAGGCTAGCTGACATAGCTCTAAGGGCTGAAACAGGCCTGCAGCCCGGGGCTGAACACACTTGGCATAGTAGATTGACTGAATGATACACCTGAACCACAGACCCTTGTGTAAATGGGACGTGGCCCAGCTTTCTTTGTAGAGCTTGCATGCTACCTGCCTAGCTGTGCTCTGTACAGTGCAATTGCCAACTCCCTGCTGCTCCTTTTCAGCGGTTGACCTGCCCTGTGATGCATATTTGGCGCAGCGGGGAAATCCCCGGATCGAGTGGAAGTTTGAGAAGGACGAGACCGTGACGCTGCTCTACAGGGACTCTCAGTTCACAGGTATAGACCTCTGCGTAGGGGCTGTGAGTGATCCAGGGGGGTTGCTAAGCTGCTTCAGGTTGTAACTTCCCAGCAGATGTAAGGAGCTGCAGGTGTTGGCACAATACAGTGCTTTGCAGCTGGAAGGCAGTGAAAGCACTCGCGGTAACACAACTGGATCCCAGGGGTCCCAGACACCCAGAGCAGGACCTGTGCATTCTGGGTGTGCCAAGGCATTGCAAAGGCAGGTGAGAATCAGTCAGCCCGTCGTTTTGTGCAGTCTGCCCTGCCCATGGCATTCTTGCCCTTTCTGGCCACCTGCAGCTTAGCTTTCCAGAGGGAGCGAATAGTCTGAAAGATTGCAGTAATATTGATGGATCTGCTCTTAAGTGGTTGGAGGAGTCGACTTCCTGAAGTCATGCAAGAAGAAGCTTTCCAGATTGAACAGTTTGAGAGAGTGGGGAAAGAGCTGTAGGAAAAGAAATGTGGCCGATTAACTGTAGATTAGCTTTCAATTTTGTTAAAATCCAGGCCCTCCTTGGAAAATACCAGCATGTAGTTTTTGGTTTTTTGACTACAGAAAAGCAGGTATCTTGTAAGTTTTGGATGTTTTGTATTAGAAATGCTTGGATTGATCTTTTGAATCTTGTGCAAGTGTTTACATACCTAGCGGTGCTGTTATTGTGCGGCATCCTTAAAAGAAGCTCATGACTCGCTGGGGTGTCCCAGCACCCCAGGAGAGAATTGCTGCCTTCACAGGTGGGTCATACTGGGATGTGAGCAGCCTAATGTCAACCCTTCCTGAAGGAATGGGACCAGTGCCCCTATCTGCCTAGCTCTCAGGGATTGGGCCCCCTGTGCTACACCAGATAGGGGTGGGGGCTTCCTTTGGAGGCATTTGGAGGGGTGGGAACAGCCTTTCCTCTGGTGTTGACTTACTCGGTGTTGCACACACCTTCACGCCCACGTGCCTCCTCCTGTTTCTCCACAGAACCGTACAAAGGCTGCCTACAGTTCACACCCTCATCGATCCACTTCAGTTCGGTGACCCGGAAGGACACTGGGAAGTACATCTGTGAGGTCCTGGGGGAGAGCGGTCAGCTCTCCAGGTCGGAGGTCAACCTCGTCGTCCAAGGTACCTGCCCCCTCCTGTAGCAAGTCGCGTGGGGGCTGGCTGCACGGAGCTGAGGCGCAATACCCCTTCAGCCAGCCCACTTTGGAAATAGCAGCAAGAGGAGTGGGACCTGATCAGATCAGCACTGTTTGAAGGGGCATCCTAATCCTGTGCTGCTCTTTTTGGTACAATTGAAGTCTGTTGTGGAGAAAAGAGACCTGCCAGCGGATATGTAGCCCATTGCGTGGCAAAGAAGGAAGCATCCTACCAGTGCTAGTCCTGCTAGTGTTTCTGTAAGGGGAGGGCTGACATGTCACCATTCCCATGCTGGCAGGTCAGGGACATATGGTTGGCATACATTTAGTTTGTCTCCTGTGTAAGTGCTGTCTGTCCCATTTGTGGCATGGTGGAGCATGCTGTCAGCGCTGGCCTGATCTTCCTTTGCCTTTTCCTAGCTGGGAAGGTAACGCCATGTGGTAACAGCTCACAGGGAGGTGATGGCCTTGCCCTCCCTCGGAGAAGGAAGTCAGATGCTTGTTTGCAAAAAAAGATGATGGAACCTAGGTCCTCAAACTGGGTGTGGACACACAGGCCAAACCCTGCCTCCATGATCACCGGTCCCTATGTGCTAAGTCCTGTGCTTACCTTGTGCTGTTGTAAGCCCTGGAGGGAGGCAGCTATTGACTCTGTTGGGGGGCCTTGGCTGGAGATCTGCAGGGTTGGGGAAGGGACTTGTCCTAGTGCCCAGTTGAATGAATTCTGGGCTTTCACTTTCCTCCAAAGCACCAGACTGGCCCTGGCTAGAGACGAGACACTGGATGGGGTTGGCAGTGCTCTGAGAAACCTTCCTTGGTGCCTGGCTGATGTCAGCTGCCCAGGGTCAGAGAATTGCCAGATACAGGTCAGGTCAGGAAGGCCTGGGAGAGGCCTTGGTGCATCCTCTGCCCTTGCAGGGGCCTTGCATCCTTGCTGTGAAAATGGTCCCTGTGGGGCTCATCTTGTGCCAGGAAAGCTTCCTCTGCCCTAACAGTGCCTGCTCCTAGCCACGATGAGAACTTTGCTCACAACTATTGTGAAAACTCAGATGCTTCAAAGCCAGTTAAGACCAAAGCCTGGTTCCCTTCCCAGCATTGAGATCGATTTGGCCAAGCAGTTTCTCTTGGCATATCCCAGTATTGGAGCAGGTAGGAAACAGGCTGCTTCCCTGGGGCCAGTGCTGACCCCACACCTTTTCAGCTCCCACCAGTGGCAGGCTCGAGCTCAAGCAGTCACTTGTATTCATCTCCCCAAGTGAGTGCAGTGAATATGATGCCCTGTTACCCTCTGCCTTGTTACAGCCATTAGTCAGAGGAGATGGATGGACAGTGGTGCTGTTCTGATTTGGTTTCATTTTAAGTACCACTTATGGTGGCAGCAATGACTGCTCCAGAGCTCTGGCAGTGAAGAATGGGGAATATCTTGCCCAGGGTCATAAAATCATAACAACTGAGGTTTGGAAGGGACCTCAGGAGGTCACATCTGGTCCAGCCCCGTGCTCAAAGTAGGAACATACCCA